GTATTTTATTGACAGTGCACGGATGCAGGGAAAAAGGGCATTGACGGAGTGTAAACACTGTTTTCATATTGACGGAATCCAAATTTAACTATTTGGACTCTTGACCACTACAAATGGTCTAATAGTTTGATCAATTTTCATTTGTGAAAGGGAAAACTGTCAAATAGGCCTTCGAAGTATACCGAAAAAGTCAATTAAGCCCTCGAACTGAAGAAACGCTCAATTAAGTCCATGAACTATACAAAAAAAAGTTCAATTTCCTAATCTAGCCGGTTGATTCCCGGTTAACCGGTCAGTGTGCTGACATGGCACCAAATGTCATTTTTTACTTTTTTTTTTTCTTTCCTATACCTCCTCTCTTTCCCTGTTTTTTCTTCCGGCCCACCTCCCCTTCCTTTCATCTTTGCTTTCTTCTTTGTACCCAGACCATTTTCCCCACCCATTGTTTTTCTTCTTCTAACCCAAACTTCTTATCCCTCTTATACGTGATACGTCTGCTTCGACCCAAGCCCTGCTTCTCTTTTACCAATCCCTCTTCTTTTTTCTTCCTTTCTTTCCTCTCTTTTCTCCCCAGTCTTCTTCCCAACCCAAATTCTCCTCTCCCTTTTCGTTTCCTCTTCTACACCATTTGCAACAAACATTTTGTTTCTTCTTCTTCCATATGAGGAACTCCGTCGAGGAGGGCGGTTATGGTGGTGGAGCACTCGAGCTCTTGAGCCGGTCTTTGACTCTTTGTCGGCGGAGACGAGAATTAGCTAGAGAAGGTGACCAAGGGTGGTAGCAATTGATGACCTCGAACCAGGCAGAAAAAGGAAGAAGAAATGGATGGTGGATTCGGGATGACCAATCTGCTCAAACAGGGCGGAGGAGAGAAGGGTATGTTGAAGTCGGAGATGGTGGGGCAGAAAGAAGTAGAGGGAGAACAGGGCAGAAGAAGAAAGTGACAAGAGGAGAGATCAAATTTCCGGCGAACACCTTCGGCACGCATGTGGCGGAGCCACCTATAGAGTTGTGGTGTCGATTGACACCACTGAAGTTTTTCTTTTTCATACATAGGTATATGTAATTTTTTAAAAATTTAAAATTGACACCAGTGAAAATAATAATTTACATGTAGATGTATGTAATCTTTCAAAAATTTAAAATTGACACCACCATTTTAAACATAGAAATTGCTCAATATAGGATCAAAACATTACACAAAGATAAAAAAAAATAGGACTAAATATGTTTTCTTACCCAAAAGCTTTATATATCTATCTACATTTCTATAGCTTTATATATCTATCTACACATTATTATATAATATTAGTTTGCTCAATTGACACCACTGACATTAAATCCTGGCTCCGCCATTGCACGCATCTCCGTCGAATACCTCCGGAAAAAGGAATAACTAACAAGAAAGAAACAGAGGATTCAGAAAGAAGCAAAGGGACAGAAGAGAATGGCTGGAGGCAGAGAAAAAAGAAGAAAGTACGTAGCTCACTAGCTCAGCAATGTCCGGCAAAGAACAAAGTTGGAAGAGGAAAGAAGAGCGAAAGAAGAAAAAAGAAGGGAAAAAAAAAAGAAAAAACATAAAAACATACACTTGGACCGCCACATCACCTATGTAACCGGATGAAATGTTAAATAAGTGATGTGGCAGACCAAGTTAAATTGCTTAGCAACAATTTACCTGCTAAATTAGAAATGTGATTGTTTTTGTAAAGTTGATGGACTTAATTGAACGTTTCTTTAGTTCGAGGGTTTAATTGACATTTTTTGTATAATTCGAGGGTTTATTTGACAGTTTTCCCTTTGTGAAATGTAAACCATTTGTGATATGTAACTTTACATAAATTGGAATGTAATTCTAGGATATAAGAAATGTAACTTGAGGAAAATAAAAAATGTAAATCACTTCAATTGAAATTTAATTTATGGTAAATAAAAAAGGAAAAATTGATAGTAATAATCCCAACTATTGGCGGTCCGCTCATAATAATCCCAACTATTGATTATTACAGAATAATCCCAACTTTAAGAACCTTCCGTCAATAATGGTCCCTATGAATAAATTCTTGTAGTTTCTAAAGTGGATGAGATGAGATATAACAAGTAATCCCTATAAATACTCTCAACTTTTAATTTTTACGCTTAATTTCTATTTAAAATTCACTTTTTATAGAGGTAATATATGGTCATGGACCATTATTGGCGGATAGTCTATATAGTTGGAATTATACAAAAATAATCAATAGTTGGGATTATTTTCAGCGGACCGGCAATAGTTGGGATTATTATTTTCAATTTTTCCAATAAAAAATGTAAATTGTCTTAATTGAAATGTAACTTAAACTAAATCGAAATGTAAATTGCTTTAATAAAAAATGTAACTTCAGCCCAAATCAAAATATATCGATCTAGTGCTCTGTTATATAGTGCTCGTATATTGATTTAATAGAGTAAGGTCCCTAGAAGTAAATACTATCTTTGATGGATTTCATGGAATTAAAGCCAAGCATCTAGTTGGGGTTTCCAACCGGTGAAGCACGTCATCGAATTAGCGACTGATCTGATTTTTCAGAATCTCGTAGCAGCTTGGTCACGCATATAGTCAAAGGTCAACCAATGGCCTCAAAACTAGGAGCAGAAAATCGACCAACAGGGAGCGAAGCGCAGACGATTAACGAGGCCTACTATTCCGATGCGGCTCTCCCAGATGCAGATCGAGCAATTATAGAAAGGGTGGACCTATTGTTTCTACGCAGAGTAGATGCTCAACACGAGTGGCAATTCCAGATGTAGAGCGAGGAGGGATGGATAAGGCAAAGATTGGAGAACACAGTGGAAGGTTGGAGCATCTGCGGAATCCGGTAGAATGAATCGAAGAGCTCTCTGTTTGAGTGACGCAAGGTGATTTGCGATGTCTAATCTGATTGAAAAAACGGCCGCTTTTGGGGATCGGTGCACCGTGCTCACATTATATTGATCCCACGTTATAATTTGTGCTCTCCGTCCCACTTAAAGGTTCTCACGCGGTTTGCGATGTTTGACTGATCATAAAATTAACTGATCCTTGTCATTAATACGATTATTTTTAGAAAATAAAATTTACATATTCAGAAACTACATCAAAAGCTTTCAAATTCCTAATCAAGAAAAATTAAATTTGATAAAAGTTGATGGATATATAAAGTAAAAGATTAAGAACAATGCGCGTTGACCGAAGAATAGTGGACCGGAACGTTTAAATGGGAGGAGGGAGTATAAAATACTCGACTAATTACTAGCTAATTTTTCCCATAAAACTCAGACGATAGTTTTATTGTGACATTATGTTCATACAAAATTAAGTTGTGTTACTATTAGCTGTGCTAATATGTGCTATTAACAAAAAATATCATTCTATAGACTTATACGGAGTATAAGCTTTTTATAGAATAAAGTCAATAAACAAAAACTATCAAATAAGTCAACTGGACTATATCAAAAGGTCAATTTCCTTCGAACTAAGAAACACTCAATCGGGCCCGGAATCTGGATGGCCGAATGTTTACAAAAATGCTCAAATGTTTAAGGGAATTTATCACAAATAGACTAAAAATGGAAAACAATATCACTTTTATCACCTTTCAAAATTTCTTTCAAAAATAGACTCACGTTCATTTTCTTTTCACAAATATCCGATGTATGTCATAGCCGTTGCTGGAGCCTCGAGACTATAGTCACTATACGATTAAGAAGTGCAAGGTAGATTCCAATATTCCACACCATCTATGAAGACGATGATAATGCACTACAAAGTACAAACTTTAGGAAATACTCAATTCTTGTTTTTTTAATACACAATAATGAAACCTTGGAAAAAAAATCGAAAATAATGTAAACAAAATAGTAAAATATAAATAAAATGCAAATAACTGGAAAATTTTCAATAGAAAAAGAAAATACTTAGAGTAAAAAAAATATAAAGAATGCTGAGTTCAAAACTTATAAATTTAATTAAAAACTAAAAAAAGGAATTAAAATTTTAAAAAATGATCACGTTTTTGTAAAAAAAAGAGTAGACAAATGAAAAAAATTGAATATAAACATATAAAAAAGTTTAAAATGTCAGGAAATTTTACGATAATATGATTTTTTGAAATGTTATTATTTTAAAACGTATAGTCAATAATTTATATATTTATATATACAATGTAAAAAAAATCAAAAATATAAAAAGAAATTTATATGAAATTAATAAAAAAACGAAAATATATACATATGTAACAAAATAGGAACTTTTTTTAAAAACTGCAAAGTGTAAATAATATTTTAAAAAATATTTAAAATATTAAATCTTTAGAAAAAAATTGTATATAAAATACTACGTAATACGAAAATATAATATAGTTTATTTTTGAAATTATAAAAACATATGGAAAAAATTATAGCTACTTAGGAGAGTTAACATTTTTAAAATATATATTCATAAATCCAAAATATCCAAATAAAATAAAATATAAGAAAGAAAAAATTAAAATCAATAAAAACTGTAAATTGGTTTCGAAAGATATATTCCAAAAAATAAAAAATGCCAAACCATTAATGTATATAAAATATATAGAATGTAGAAAATTTTTAATAAATTTAAAATTTGTAAAAAGAAATATGAATTTTGTGAATTGATATTTTTAGTTTCAGAAATTCATTATTATCATCGGGGCATATTGTTGTTAGTTTTTGTTGCATGTTGTTTCATTATGTTGCTTTTTGTTTATATATATGCAAATTTTGGTTTTTTATTGTTTATTCATGTTTCTTGTGGATTTTCTTAAAATATAACATTAAGGTAGATACGTGTGTTTTATTTTCAATTCAATAAAAATGAATAGAAACATAAATAAACAATAAAAGTGAAATAATGCATAATAAACAAATAAATAAACAATGGGCAACAAAAAGAAGGATAATAAAACAAAAAACAACATGATACAAAAAGAGCAACAAAAAAGTGACACTATGCAACAAAGAGCAACAATATTAAAGTTTCACAGTTTTGAATATGCATTCCCGCATTCAAGATGAGAACTATCCTTATGATATAACATTAATAAATAATGTACCACTAAATTGGATTTTTAGTATATATACATTTACATGGGGTGTGAATAAAAAAACTAAAACTGGAAACCGATCCATTGAGCGCTTCTTTCCCAGTAAAACAATGATGCCATATTTCACTTTGTGCTTCTTCACAAATTCAACTTTGGGAGCTCTTTCTTTAATTACTTTTGTAGTGGAATCAATTTGAATAGCTTTCATGGCTATATAATTAACTGTCAAACAAAAAAAAACAACACAGTACAACAGAAAGCAACACGATACAACATAAAGCAACATACAAAAGAAACAAAAAGCAACAAAAACATATAAACGTAATGAGACAAATATACAATTAAATCTGTTTTCACATTCATAACTGCATCAAATCAAATGACATTTTTTTTTTGCAAATTAGCAAAAAGTTTAAAGATAATCTGACAAGGGTTGAATACATGCACTAAAAGGAAGGCAAATAAAGTTTAGCAAAGTTTGGGAGCCTCTTCCAGAACCAGTGACTATAAAAATTCGTAGGAACAATATATGTATTATAATAATGCTCATCATAAAAAAATTAGTTTATCTATTATACCACTAATCATGAAAAACCATCCCAGTAACAAGTTATTCTTATTCATCCCACCTAGATTTTTGCAAATAGATTATCTCCCAAGTCCTAAGCAACGAGAATCCCCACTTTGAAAAGCTATGGACCTACCAGGAAAGCAAACTCCAAGTTGAAAAGGCTTGCTACTTGTCTTTGAGTGTTAGGGTGTACAACTCAACAATAGTCTCAAAGCATGAAAACTGCATCACCGTATATGGAATCCCACATCTCCATAGAGGAACCAGCACCTTGTACAACCCACAAGCTCCTTCAGATGAGACATATTGTGGATGCCCATCAGCCAACCCCTAGCAAAACATGGCAATACATATTGAGGTACACGAACCTGTACTGCATCTAAAGGTTAAAGTGCAACACTTGTAACTCTATAAGGTTGTAATCACTTCTGCTGTAGAGCCAACAAGGCAGATTAATGTACGAAGCTTAAATTACATAAATCCAACGAACAGAACATGATCATGTTTACTCCATTTGCTGATGACATTTTGACAGGAACACAAAGTCCATCTTCTGCAAAACTTCTATTAGTTTCTAGATTTTTGCAAGGTTTTCTCTATGAACTCCCTAATACACAGTTAAATATTTTTATCTTCATATTAAAGTTCTACGCTATTTGAATACTCAAACTGCAGAGCACATTTGAAGGTAAACAGAAAATTGGTTTCAGAACCTATTAATACCAACATTGTAAATTAATTTCTAAAACATCTGAATAGAATCTCCACCAAATAAAAATTATGTTTGTAATCAAGCAATTCAACCGTCAAACTCATTGGATCTGTTAGTGTTTGGCCCCGAATTCTCCATAGAGAGGATGTCGATGCCGGCGTGCTTCTGAATGAAGTTTTCGTCTGCAAACTTTGACGCCGTAGATCGTCTCACCCCCGGTCTCGTTTCCCCTTGTGAAATCGTCTCACCCCCGGTCTCGTTTCCCCTTGTGAAATCGCCTCCCTGGCACATGAAATTGGGGATCGCACGGTGGAACGTGAAGCCCTTGAACTGCAGCAGTTTGCCGGACTCCCGATTCCTTTCTCTTTTGTGCAGAGGGATGAAAATTCTCGGCCATCCTTGGACTCGTATCGCTGAAGAGCTCCATCACGACACGGCCGGCCGGTTGGCTTCCTATCGTGTTTTGAAAAAGATCAGTTTTGGCCGCTTTTTAGAGAGATTAGGCGGAGATTATTTTTGAAATTAAAATTAGGCTGGGTGACTAGAATTGAAAAGGAGAAAGTTTAAAGATGAAAACCGTGTTTGCCTGGGTCATAAATGATATCTCAGAGGTTAAAATGGTTCAAACGGGTAATTTCCACAATGTTTAAACTAGCTAGTTAATTAACGCCTTATTAGTCTGTTATTGTGCTTATGCGGCCCATTCATACAGAAATTTTAGAGAGCACGTTATATGCTCCTTAGAGAGCACGTGAGTCCGCTTTAGAACCCTTGTATAAAAGCCCATACGGTTGCCTCAAGACTAAACATTATGAGGTTTTATTATTATTATTATTATTATTATTATTATTATTATTATTATTATTATTATATTATTATTATTATTATTATTATTATTATTAGTTTATAATAATAAGAGCACTCACATTTTTTTAAAGAATACTCACTTTTTTTTTAAAGAGCACTCACATTATATTCATGGTAAAACGTTGTTCTTCTCGTGTGTAAGTTACGTTTTTCGAATAAAAAGTAATGAATCCACTTATTTCTAGGGGTGGGATTTTGGAACCGGGAACCGTAGAATCGATTGGAACCGAACCGTTAACAACATCTAGGAACCGAACCGTTAACAATTAATACCTTATTTGTAGGAACCAAACCGAAACGAGTTATAACGGTTCGGTTCCTGGTTCCTATAAAAAATATATGCATGGAACCGTTAAGGAACTATTATTAAAAAATTAAAAAATAAAATAATATTAGTAGTAGTAGTAGTAATAGTAGTAGTAACAATAATAATAATATAATAGCAATAATAACCACCACCACAACAATAATAATAAAACAATATAAGATATTTAACTAACAATTCTAATTTAATCAACAAAAACGAAGTAATAAATACTGTACATGAGGTTGATATAATACATTAAACTCCTTTCTACAAATCAAGTTTTGTTCCATCACATAAATTTTATAAATACAAAATAACTCAAATAACTTGTAGTTGATTGCACATGTTTTACTTTACTATTTTCATGATATTTCTAATTATTAGATTTATTATGAATCAATAGAATGTAACAATGTTTTTATATATCTGTTAGAGATATTTTCATGTATTGTGATCAATGTTTTTTCTAGCCTCTTGATAGTATTTATTGTGTATTTAATAGGCCTTAAATGGAAAAGGCTACTAAGCTAAATTAGGAATGGGCCTCCTAAAAAGGAGAGCCCATATCATTGTAAACCCTACCATTCTAAGGAGGCTATAAATAGACCCCTTAGGAATGGCTAGGTTAAGCTTTCCTCCCTCAGAAATATTCCCTGCGCATAGAATAGAGCCTAAAAAGGTTTTACGCTACATATTCTTCACCATCTTTATGTAAACTTTCTGGCTATCAATGGAAAGCTTCTTCTACTCCTATTAATCAGATCTTATACATTATAGAGTAGAAATAGGGACCAACAATTGGTATCAGAGCCGAGCGTGTGACCGGTTGAAGTTTCTGCTATTGATCGATCTATTGAAGTTGAAGAACAGGACTTGCGCGATTTTTCATCGGCACTGTTCTGCCTTGTGCGCGATCTTGTATATTATTTTTGTTGATATTTTTGCAGAAAAATGTTTACAAGAAAGTGTTTCTAGCCTTGCAAGGTTCCATTCAGTGAAAAATCGCATCCAGAACTTTGGCGTACAGGTTAAGCTGGAGTTGAGCGATCCTGCACTTTCGCGCAACTCCCTTGGAAAGAAGAACAGGTTTAGCGCAAAAGGCCTCTTGCCCGATTTCAACTTCGCGCGAAACACCCTGCGCGATTTTGGACTTGAGCTATTTCGTCCTTGTGCGAACTAGACTCGCCCGATTTCAAACAACATTCCTTGCGCGATCTCAGAATTACGATTTTCTTTGCTGTTGCGCGATTGACCCTGCGCGAACCAGTGTTGCGCGATCTCAGAATTGCGATTTTCTTTGCTGTTGCGCGATTGACCCTGCGCGATCTTACTCTCTTGCGCGATCTGTGTAGTCGTTTGCGCAAAACTTGTAGGTGCGTGTCGTGCGCGATTTGAGTTCGTTGTGCGATCATTCAATTGACGATCAGGTGTTGCGCAAAAGTACTCCTTGCGCGATCCGGGTACAGACCTGCGCGATCGCGATCCGGGTACTCTGTTGCGCGAGCAGGTGTTGTTGCGCTATTCTTTACTTGCGCGAACTTAGTACCACCCCGGGAGCAAATTTAATTTAAAAAAAAAATACAAAGGAAGGAGAGGCAAAATTGTCTTTTGTGACCTGCGGAATTTTACGGCTATCGTGTCCGCAGGTCGCCCGCGCAGGGGGGTGCGAATTTTCGCTTTTGAACTACAAGCCGAAATCCCATGTGCGCGAGAGCTCCTCTATTTTCCTTCACCATTTAATCCTAAGGAAGGAGTGCTCCATATAAATAGGCTCAAAAATTTTCAAAGAGTTTAGGTGTGGGATAAATTAACAAGCTTACTTTTCCCTTCACTTAGACAAGTACATTTTTTCCCAACACCCAAATACCCTCATAGGCCAGGCTTTAGCACTGCTGTCCCCATGCCGCCACTTGTTGTCGGAAAAAATTCTCGCATGTGGATGTTTTTACTTGGACTGTTTTCAGTTCCAAACCACATCAGACCAGACCAGACCAGACTTATAAAATATTACCAGACCAGACTGTCTTTATAAAATATGCAAAGACAAAACATTACCAGACCAATCCAGACAAACCAGAACAAATCAGGCCAGACCACACCAAAAATATACAGTCCAAGTAAGAACATTATGAGCTTCCAGAAATTCGTTGCCACCGTCGGCTTTCACCATCACAGATTGATCCTTCACCAACGGATTGTCTTGATTATGCAAGGGAACAGAGGATTAATTAAGTTAATTGATTAGTTAACTAAATCAGGGTAGAAATAAAATGATTAATCCTATTTAATTTAGAGAAAATCAAACATATAATCCTATTTTTGAAAGAAGGTCATTTTTATTCTTATTTTAGGCAATTTTCTCTTAAACAATCTATGGTATAGAGGAAATATAATTCGGAAATATTTTATTCAACTATTTGTGTCTAAAATAAAAGATTAACTTGATTAAATATAATCTTACAAAAAAATTCTTGAGATATTACCCAAAATGGGACTAAAAAAGTTTGGAAATTCCAAAATAAGACTTTCATGTTTTTATTCCCAAAATAAGACTAATTACTGTCATGTTTTGGCAGTACCAGACTTCAAACATGGCAGTATTTTCCAAATTTGGCAGTAATTAGTCCTATTTTGGGAATAAAAACATGACAGTCCTATTTTGAAATTTTCAAACTTTTTTAGTCTCATTTCGGAAACTTTCCCAAAATTATTTTGTCGACACTTCTAGTATGTACTATGTAGTATATTTTACAAGTGACTAAATGACAAATACTCCTTCACTGTTTTTTTTTCTTCAGAAAAAAAAAACAAATACTCCGTACACTATATTAAAATGATAACGATCGTAGAAGATAAAAAAGTTGGGCCTCAAAGCTCACTTAATTATAAACGCATCCAGTGCCAGATTTGATTACGTGCTCATCCGAAGTTACTTGAAGCCATCAACGATTAACCATCGGTTCGTTGATCGTTTCTAGTAGTAATTAATGTCGAGATGTTAACTAATTGTCATCTTAGCAACACTCCCCAACATTAATATAGAGATAGATTAAGGAAAGAATTAATATTCAAGGAAGAAGATTAAATATGAATAATCCTACTATAACTAATGTCAAGATGTTATCTAATTGTCATCTTAGCAACACTCCCCAACATTAATATATAGAGGAAGAAAATAAATACTACTATAACTAATGTCGAGATGTTAACTAATTGTCATCTTAGCAACACTCCCCAACATTAATATATAGATAGATTAAGAGAATAATTAATATTCAAGGGAAGAAGTTAAGAAAATAACTCACAACTTTAATAATCAACAAGCTTCAAGAGCAACACCAAGAAATGGAAGTTTAGCTCCTCATTTGGAGACTAAACATGCTATAAAAATATAAAAGAAATATTATTCTAAACTGAGCTTAAGAGTATGAAGAAGGGGTGCTTTTATTGTGAAGGAAAAGGGGTGTATTTATAGGTGTTTGGAGGTGGCAGGGTTGTGTACCCGATCGGGTATATAGGGTACCCGATCGGGTATTTTAGGCAGTTTTCCAGAAAATCACTTTTCTAGACATACCCGGTCGGGTATGAGCCAAAAAGTCAAAATCCTGCACGTTCTTTTGTCTCTCCAGATTCTGATTTTGACACCCGAATCAACTCAATACCCGATCGGGTATTGCCTATACCCGACTGGGTATATGAAATATTTTTTCAATCTTCTTTTTATCTTGTCCCCTTGCACTTTCTTTGATCTTTTGGGGTCCAAACTTGATCCTTTGGATGATCTTGACCTGTTTTAAACTCAGAATAATCATAATCTAAACAAATTACATCTATCTAAGAAAATTAACTAATTACACCAAAAGTGTGTAATTTTCCAAACAACAACAAATAAAGTGCAGTAAGTTTCAAGAATTTATTTGACTACCTTCTTGGTCGAATTTTGAGCTGAAATTTGGTATGGACAAACTAGACTTGATGAGGAACATGCTCAAAAAATTTCATCGAAAAAGTCCACCGGGAACCGCCCCAAACAGTGAAGTTCGGACGGTTGCTCCCGTCCCTCCGGCTGGACCTGAGCAGTCCTCTCTCTCTCTCTCTCTCTCTCTCTCTCTCTCTCTCTCTCTCTCTCTCTCTCTCTATATATATATATATATATATATATATATATATATATATATATATATATATATGTATGTAGAGAGGTTTGGAGAAGATGAAGATGGAGATGATTGAGTATGAGAGAATAGAAAATTAGATAGTAGGATTGTATGAAGATGGTGTGAAAAATGTAAAGAAAGTAGAAGTATAAATAGAATTTTTTGGTATCCCCCACCCCACCCCCCGGACCCCCCTCCTCCCCCTCCAACGGCTA